CATACATATACAAATGGTGATCTTATTTTATTTGAAATAGTTTGTTTGTTTTTAATTATGCACAAAGCTACACAAGGGCTATCTGTATCGAAACCCGGTTTCTAGCGTTGTAAGTCCGCAGACATACCACTGTGCCACTGGTGGGCTTGAAATAGTAATTGAACATTTCTATTTGACCATTTATTTATATATATATTTTAAATAATTATTTAATGCTTTGATGACCTCATTATCATAATTTTCATTATATATTAACATAAATTATATGCAATCTATTTATTTCCCCATTAAACTTAATTTCACAGAAATCATTTAAATAAAATAAAAATAATAATGGGCCCAAAACAAATCCCTGGGCTACTCCTGAAATAGTTTCCATTTCATTGCTTGTGATAGCGTTAATTTTAACTACTTTTTGATTTATTATATATATGTATGGTTGAAACTTAATTAAAACATTACCTCTTAGTTCATTTATATTTATTTTTTCTTAAATGAAGGTAATTGTGACATTGTATCAAAAGCGTTTGATACATCTCAAAAAGAGTATATGCTAAATTATCTTCATTAATAAAATGATTTAATTTATCAAGCATCTTATGTATTGCATCCTCTTATTAATATTTTGTTATGCCCCAATTCAGAATTTGAGAAAATTTACTGAATCTGGAAATTTAGTAAATCTTTTTTTAAATACTTCCTCAAGAATATTTTATATAACTTTCACTATCTCCTTCATATTGTGGTATAATGAAATCATATTTTAAAATGTCCGGAAAAAATCCGTTTTCTTTTGACATATTAACAAAATACGTTATTCTTGATGTTAATTTATCAATATTATAATTAAAAATTTCGGCTGTAACTTTGTCGTTTTCCGAAACCTTTCTATTTTTGTAGAGAATTTATAATTCTCATAATTTCTTAGTCTTTATTGTTTGTTAGATACATTGAATTTTCAGTTATATAATATTGTATATTATATTTCGTCTAAGTGATCTATCTTTAAATATTTACAACAATTTTTACTTATATTTTCCATTGAACATTTATTTAAAATGTATTAAAATCACTTACGTATAATTAGAGTGGTTCTTTGAATTTGATATTCATATCATCTATTGAAATACTTTCAATTTTTTTTGAATTTTAGGATTTTTTCCCAGTAACCCAATTAATTATATTCCATTGTTGTTTGGTTTTTTTTCTTACTTTTATTAGCATATATTTGTTCTTCTAATAATATATTTGTGTTTATATGTTGTTAATATGGTAGAATGAAGTAGTGACTCAAGATTTACTTTTATATTGATTTTAATTTCGAATTTTTATTATTACTAAAATATTTCTAGTTGTTACTTGCTATTACTGTAAATATTAATTTCATGCCGACAGGGTGCACCATGTGTGCCTCGATGGGATGCCAACTTATATGCCACAAAGAAAAGTGTGGCACAAGGAATGATGGACATAGCCTTGTTAACAGCGAATGCTTGCCAGTTGAAGTATGTGCTGCGTGAGGAAGAAGAGAATAGCAGATTTTTTTTTATTCAATATCAGCTGCATCGGAATTTCCATCAGCCTGCAGGTATCAAATTTTGTGATGTAACTAATGAAACAGTCTTCATGATCTAGCAGCAGTATAATCTAACTTGTCACGTCGTTGTATATTATACTACTTGATTAAACTCAGAGGCGTTGTTAGGCATTGGCACACGGGGTTCATACCCCGAATCCCCAGTAGAAAAATCATAATAGAATACCATGATCGATATCATACTGAGACACCGAAAATTCCCTCGCCTATGGGCCCTAGCTAGCCCCGAATGTTTTAAGCACCTAGCGACGCCTCTGATTAAAAAAAGAACTACAATTTTGAATTCTTATCCTACAGTAGATAATTAAATTATTATGATTCGATAAAAGTAATTTTGTATAATGTTATGCGTTATCACAACATTAAAAATGTAACGTAGTTTAAACTTCTATAGTTTGCGCAGATTTTCTTATTTTATTTTTTCGTAGCATCTGTACTGTATTTTTGTTTTTTAAGGATATAGTATAGGAGACAGAGATGTGGAAAGTAATATTTTTTTAAAACAAATTTTTATAAAGCTTATTATTTTGAACAAAAGTTGACTAAAGTTTGCAACTTATATAGTTTAACTTTGATATTTTTTCAGGTCATTGTTGGAATTCTTCTGATCCTCAATACACGTTATAATATAAACTTGACTTCACAGCAACAAAAGGCAGAGCTTTTGAACAATTTGACAATTATTGGCATTTTCTTAATTACGATTGTCAATGTGTTCTTGTCAGCATTTGGAACATCTAAATGATGTCACAGTTTCCCGCCTAACTTCCACTAAAAGATTGAATTGTACTGTTTCTGAAACTACCTGTACAAAAAAAAGCACGTGGGCAATTTTGCCAATGAAAAAAAACTAACAATCCAAAAAACCAAATAGCATTGTTGACAAGCGAGTATTGAAAATGTGGAATTTTATTCTTTTACGGCAATATCTTGAAAACGCAGCAAGCTAACATATCTTTGATGTTTCTTGACTATATTGTGTGACAATGTAACTTGATAAAACAATTAATAGAATCATTTTCCCCAGAAGATCATACTGTTTCCAAAATACTGATCGAGTTTCGAATATTGTAGTATGAAAATTCTGACGAGTTCATATCACGTTTCTACAATGGTGCTTCCACAACACCAGGAGAATAGACATTCCCCGTGATTAGTTTCTCATGTTCCTGAAACATACAAATGGTTATGTCATCATTTTTTAAGGGCACTTGAAAACTATCGGTTCTTGATATTTGGAAATCACATAAGTTCACAAGAGAAGTTAAAACACTGGTCAAGCAAACCGATAATTTAAGCACGTTTGGACCTGCCTTTCTTCAGGGATGATTTATGAGTGAATAAGAAGGTGAACGTACTAAAAACTCTTGTTATTGGATTTCTTCTATTGTTAAGATTTCTGTAGTATATCATAAGGTTAATGTCATAGTGTGAATGACAAATTATTATATAAAAATCAAATTGACATTCATATAATAAAAAGTTTCATCATGCTTCTCAAAGCATTATTAATATTATTTATATTCCAACGTGTTTAAATCACTAGGTAATTACAGAATTAATATAAAAGAACTTATCTCTATCGACGCGGGAGTAACGTAACTGAACGCCATGACATCTTGTACACAG